AAATTTACGATCTTTCAACTCTGTTTTTTTTCCACCAAAATAATATTCTTATAAGAGCCCCCTATTTCTAATTTTGAGAGCGCCCAGGGCGCTTATCATGTCAAATAGGGTATGTCATTCTATTTAAATATACACTTGACACGAGAACTAAGAGAATCAGTAATGCTTATGACGTAAAGATTAAAATATCCCTATCAAATGTGGAGAGGTATATTAGTTGACCCCTCAGCGGAAATGATAAACAGGTGGTAATATAAACATGATAAAGTCAGCAGTTACAACATGAGAATGCAAGACTAGTAAGAAAGCACCTCCAACACATGGTTCAATGAGTCTAGTGTTTGTTTGTTTGTTTGTTGTTTAACGCCGCACTCACCAATATTCCAGCTATATGACGGCGGTCTGTAAAATAATCGAGTCTGGACCAGACAATCCAGTGATTGACATCATGAGCATCGATCCATGCAATTGGGATTGATGACATGTATCAACCAAGTCAGCGAACCTGACCACCCGATCCCGTTAGTCGCCTTTTACGACAAGCATAGTTACCTTTTACGGCAAGCATGGGTTGCTGAAGACCTATTCTACCCCGGAATCTTCACGGGTCTAGTCTAGTGGAGTATATGCACAACATAATGGGCTTCATTATCAACATTTCACCTGCTTTAGCTGATACATCACTGTTATATAAATGACAAGCATTTGTCTCACAGTAGAACTTATCGAAGTCCATTTCTTTCATTTCTAAGTCTTGGTTATGTTTTGTGTGATCCTTCCTTGCTCTACAGTCTTATCTGTACAAAGCTATCAATTTGGATAATTGGTATTTTAGTTTGTGAGTACAGAGTAGATGCTAAGGAAGAACAATGTTGTAAAAGTAATATCTCCATTAATGTTTAATGAAAAAACAAGTGCTTTCCCCCACTCAAACTTAATGACTGTCAGATCCGAGGATCTTTCAGGATGTGGTGTACAGGACAGACGTCATTCAGCAGCTGATATTGTGCCTCTTATGAAATAATTATTCCTTCATGACGCAATAAACAGGGAGAGGCCATATTTCCACATTGTTATTTTCTGTGTGCAGACGCTGACAACTACCTGGGAAAATGGTAATTGAGCAGACGCAGAGAGAGTCTGACAGGGCACTGTGGCATAAGTGGTCCTTGAACCACATCTCTGCAAGGGTTGGTATTAATGTGTAATGACTTCTCAGGCCACCAGGGGGCAGACCTTGCTTCCTTAGCCAGCTGTTAGTGTTGACTGAATAATCATCAAACTTGAGTGAGTGAGTGAACAGTTTTGTCAACAAGATGAAACTGTACTGCAATGATGGTCTGAAGAAGCAATTTTTGTTTGTTTGTTTGTTGTTTAACGCTGCACTCAACAATATTCCAGCTATATGAAATCAGTCTGTAGATAATTGAGTCGAAGACCAGACAATCCAGGGATTGATATCATGAGCATCAATCCATGCAATTGGGATTCAATGACATGCATCAACCAAGTCAGTAAATCTGACCATCCTATCCCGTAAGCTGTTCTGATGACAAGACTAGTCGCCTTTTAAGGCTAGCATGTGATGCTGAAGACCTATTCTACCCCAGATCTTCTCGGGTCCCAAAGTAGTAAACCAGTGGCTGATAGCATGAGCATCGATTCCTTCCACCATCGAAAGATGAGACAAACAGGTCGAAGTTGGAAGCTAGTGTTCCCAGGTGGTAATCCATCCAAATCCATCCGCAGTGAGCAGACACCAAAGATCCAGTCTTCATAGAACTTAAATATTAAGTCACCTCAGTGAGAGCATCTTGTTCTACCAGCGTAATGCTATGATAAATAGTATAACATAGCACTGTTTACTGATCATGTATATCCGGATCTACCCACACTGTATTATGTCTAATGACAATGTTGACCCAAACTATGAACACAAGGGGGGAGGGATCATGGGGAGGCATCGAGGGAGGGATTAGAGGAAGGGCTTAACTGTAATCCTGTCTTGCTCAATATTGTTCTTGAGTCACAGTTGTGGTGCAACTCGTGTCTCCATAATAAACACAATCAACACCGGGGAGTAAATAGGTCAGAACCAACACAGATGTATTTAACTCCACAACATCAATATATTGGTCAGTAAATGGATGCCATTTGAAGCTGCCATCAATAACACATAACCCAACTGGTCCACGAGGGACCTTTACCGTGTCTACTACTCTCATTTGTATTCTCTTTGGCTCTTTACAATTCTGCTCCATTTTCGTCTACAGGAAACATCAAATACTACCAACAAAATATAAGGGAACTAATGATTTGAATGTAGCTATCACTGAGGTCTTCACTTTATTCTGTACTTGTAGGCCATGGGCCTTTTGGGACAAACAAAATACAAATACAATCACTGACGTTATTTGCAATACCGTGGTGTTAGACCTGAATGCAGCATCTAATCACAATAAAATTGTACATCATGCATGAACAGCACACAGAGGCCAAAGTATAGGGGAAGTCACAATCACTAATGCATTGAGCTAAACACACTTAAAAATGCCTCCGAGACCCTATGAACAGACTACATGGTAAATCGGGGATGACAGAGGGGGCTCTATGTCACAAGTTGCCTACCGTATTCGACGTAATAAGCGCTCAGGGCGCTCTCAAAATTAGAAATAGGGGGCTCTTATTAGAATATAGTTTTGGTGAAAGAGTCGAAAGATCATAAATTTTATGGTTTCTGCTGACAGCCTGAAATGATTCAAAAGAAAAGTCTGTGCGTATTATACACGAATTTAATTGCCCGTAATTAAGGGTGCATATAACACACGAGTGCGTATTATACATGAATAAATGTACACGAATTGTGTCAAACAGGTGGGGCTGCAATGAGACCTGGTGTGGCAGTCCTGAAAAACGACACCCAGACAATATTGTCTCATTTCATTAATTGTAATATGAAATAGATTCAAATCTGCCCCTTCCATCAACAGAGAATTCTGTACAATAACAGAAAGGTGAATTCAGCATCAACCATTAAAATATGGCTCAATGCAGCCCGCCTGAAAGTAAAGGCGTCCTGTGAAGGGTGTGACCCAAACAGCTTACCAAAGCTGACAGAGACTGGGGTAGGCTAGGCAACACCAGGGACGGGATGTGCGCCAATTGTGTTACACCATATTCACAGACGATTCAAGGTTTTTCCTCCGATTCACAGATAGCAAAGTTATTGGAGACGTAGCAGAGAGCGGTTTGCCAGGGCAACAATTCTTGACCAGATCAGTAAGCGGGCAGGAAGTGTCATAGTGTGGGGTGTTATCACACATGACAGGCGAATTGATTTGGATAATGTTAACGAACATTTGACTGGCCAATGATATGTTGCTGACAATTTGCATCCTGCCGTTGTTCCATTCATTTGAATTATCGGCCGAAATTTTGAAGATGAAAGTACCAGATCATATCGTGTCCAGCAGGTCATCGATCATGTCCGATAAGAAGGCATGCGGACATTGGACTGGCCTGCTACATCTCCTGACATGTCCATAAAAGAGTTTCCGTGGAATGTCCTCAGGCAGAGAGTGTACGTGAGAGACCCAGCACCCTCCGAGGCCCAGCTTGGGGTAACTCCCAGGCGGAATGGTGGAAAATTCCAAGGGCAAACATACGCAAGTTAAATCAACAACATGCCATAAATGTGTGGTGCATGTATCGACCGACCAGCATGGTGGACACACCAGATACTGATCTACATGCCCGAAATTAACTTCAGACACTTAACGTCATTACACCTTCACTATCATTTCATCAGTACCCTTATTTTTTGTCATTATTATCAATTTTTTTGTCTGGTGGGGGGAAATCACATGTGTTCACAACGGTTTTGGTGGAAATGCATATATGTGTGTGTTAGGCTTTTATAGGAGAGTACTTTGAAAATCAGCAAAATCTATATGATGTTTTGTTGGTTGTTAAATACTGTAGCTATCCTGCTATATCACAGCCTGTAAATATTCATTCTAAAACATACAAACCAGTGATTGATATTATGAGCAATGCAGTAAATGACATGGAACCAACCAAGACACCGAGACGGCCACCCGATCCACCTGATCCACCTACTCACCACGAATAGGTTGTTGGCGACCTGCCAAGGGTTCATGAAGACCATGAATCTGAGAGTAGAAGATCATCAAATTTCAGGAAGGTCTAGTGACCTTGTGGACTATCACTTTTACCTTTAAGCAGATTTTGGGAAAACTAGTGAAAACATACACCCTACTAATAAGTATCTCTATCCTACACCTATATTTTAAACAGATAAGTGAAAATAAAAATTGATGGCAACACTGCATCCACCCTACCAATTAGTATCTTCAGTATTCAGCACTGGACCTGCAACTCTTTCACAAAAGAAATTCAGTGTACATAATAGACCTCACCGGACAACCAACCTATCAACGATCAAGATGGGGTGGATAAGCCCAACCCATCCATCCCCCCTATCTGCCAACACAAGGACCTGTCAGACAGAGTGGAACTGTACCATACACCTACCAGTCTCCATCTACCTTCACACACAGTACAATCAGTACTGCAGCTGCAAATCCAACACAATGGAACTGCAGTGTTAATTGAGGGTCTGACGGCCATCTGGTTGCCGAACAATGTCCAGTAATTAGTAAGTTTTCAGAGTATTTATTACTTTGCTATCACATCCTCAGAACACCTACTCTAGTTAACACCTTTCCTCTGACATTCTGATTAAACACTTTTTCTAGAACACCTACTCCAGGTAATACACCTCTGACATTCTGATTAAACACTTTTTCTGTAACCATTCATTCATCTGTGAAACAAAAACTACAAAAAAATAAATGGAAATATTTCTGTTTTAAATTCTTCCATCCCTAAAACACCTGATTGTCTGGATTTATCTAACGTGTGTCTTTGTGGCCATTGATCACAATCCACCCGAATGTGACGATGTCAGATCTGCCTACCTCATATTGTACGTCCACTTATCCAGCTTGAAGCTTGGCTCCATGTTGATGGTATCCCACTGTTCTACATCAGATAAATGACATTACAGCCACATTGGCCTCCAGGTCATGTCAATACCCGTGATGGGGGTCTGTCTGTCCGTCTGTCTGTCTGTGAGTGTGTCTGCTCGGTGTCTGCTGCTGGTATGTGCCGACCAGTTCACCGTGAGAGGAGTTGAGACACTGCGCACTCTGTCACATATTGATCAGCTCTCTGATGGTGACAACAATCCTTCCCCTAGACCTCAACCTGGCCAAGCTGTACGCTATCTCTCTCTCTCTCTCCCTCCCTCTCTTTCCACCCACTTCCTGATCGTCGTCAATGAACACTACAATGGCGGATTCCGCAATGTAAGTTTAACCCACTTCAGGTCAACACACCGACACCTCTCCCATCTGAGAAGCACACTTCCTTCTTGTCGCACACAAAGGGTTAGCGTGACTGTTTAGCAACGTTTATCTGCTGCTATGAAGCAAGCTGAGTCAGGCCGACTTCCCCAGCCACAGTTTCTCATCTGTCCATATTGACACAGCTCTCAATCACAGTGATAACCTAACACTCTTCGTTAACAGATTAGGCTCACGAAACCTCCCTCCTCTGCTAATCTTATTGCCTCTCACAACAAGTCCCTGTCACCAGTAGCTCCCTCTACAGGTGAATGTGTGCGATCAGACTGTACTGTCCGTGTGACCAAGTGTATAGACAGTGTGATCGGCTGGTGCTCGGCCAGGCAGAACTGCGACGGTGTGTCCACACTCACCTAGGGCCAGCGAAGTGTGGCATTGTCCTCAACACCATGGGATACACAAGTAAGACTTGTTTATAACATGCCAGCTGGAAGGTGTTAACTTGCTTATATCACTACTCGTTTGCACGTCATGTGGACATGCCTAACTTTGCAAAAGTAATGATTTAAATATACTGTAAAATAATTTGATTGATTTCTGCTACTTGCAGGAACACAAATAATTGAGATATTGTGTTTATTAACTTTAGTCTAATTATCTATGAAATGCTGATATATTTATAAATCAAATATTACAGATATTAATTAAAAATGTTTAAGAGAATCAAGAGAGTCACATAAAATAAACAGAAGGAAATGAAAAGAAATGAACATCTTTAGGCAGGGTCAGGAAAACACATTAAAAATTATGGTAAAATTAATATTTTTTTGTTTTTATTATAACATAAAATTATACTTCATATGATCCTAAGGACAGCCGGGGCTTACAACAAATATTTTTTAAATTAGGGTTGTATGAATGAACTGAAAATGAATCCCTTAAGATAAGTCAAATTACAAATTTCAAGTATGCAGTCACAAAAGTAATACCCTAAGAATCTCAGAAACGTATACCGGTATGTAGCTTGGGCAAATGTTCTGCGCACATTTCGGCCACGTTAAATGTTTGCGTGTGGACTTTTATTATTATTAATTTTTTTTACTCTTTGTACCATTTTTTCCCCCTGGCATTTCTTTGCCTGTATTGAAATTACTGCTCAGGGTCTGCTCTTTCTGCAGATACCATACTGTTTCAACATTGGTCTTGAAACATAAGGGGTAACTGACAGACACCAAAATGTTATATTTTTTCATAATTTAAAATGGCTATAAAGTTATTATTTTTTAGTTTTGATATATTTTAGTGATACTGTCGAATGAACAATTCCAAGAGTTTTCAATATATCTATAATATGAGGTATGGTTTCTAAAAGGGGTCATGTGACCAGCCCCTAATGCATTGTGGTTGGAAATTACGTTTGAACCTGGTTTGGACATGCAGTAGATATATCTTAGGGATAGGTTATAAAAGAATAGGACGAGCATTTAGAAAGGGTCATAAACTGTACAAATGTCCAACATTTGGGGTTAATCTCATTTGTGTCAATCTATGGAAGACATCCATTTGGGGAACGTCATGCTTTCTTGTAAACATATAGAAGACATACATCATGTACATTCGGAGTCAGCCATTATTTTTGTCTTAAGTGAGGCAACTTCCTTGTTTATAACATGCTTTAACATGCAGGCATACAGATAAGAATGTGAATAGATATCTGGATGTCTAAAATGTCCAGCCATTCATCTGTAGATAAGCAGTACAACCTGGTGATATATCAAACATATTTCTAAGAAAAATCGATCTTCACATTCCCCCTTACAGTCCAGGAAGGAAATGTAAATTAGCATATTATTCTAGAAATTCATTGTATTAAAGTGTTTGGGAATTAGATTTAAAAAACAAAGGTCAAAGGTTTCATGTTCATTACAAAAGCCTGATTAGAAACTGCCCCGCCTCCTTTAAGATTCTGCATTCAATTTCCATCATTGATCATCCTTAAAACACATTCTGCAGTGTTGAAATTAGGGGGTACAGGGGACCCTGAAGTATTTGGTGCCCCCTAAATCGGAAACCGTTAACATTAGGGTAATGACATGGACCTTTGACTTTCATGTTTAATTTTTTGAAATTTTGAGTTCTAACTGATATGCTTCATTTGTAGCTGAATAAAAATCACTTTCTTAACTTGAGACAATTACATCAAATATCATGCACCCTGAACATGTTCAATCATTCCTACAACTAACATGCCATGTTCCAGCTATTTCAATGCCTCCCACTCATCGTATATCAACTACCCTAATGTGTTTTACATACCGGTATATAAATATGTGCTTTCAAAGTCTCAATTTCACAAAAAATATCACAAAAATAAAATATTTATCCTGCCATGGCAACTTGATCGTATAGGTCAGCGAGACTGATTGATTTTATTAAATGTTAATAGGCAAGGAGGCAGATTTCAAATGTAGTCATATTTGTCTTATGCAAACCATGGTAAATTGCTCTTTCAGGATTGAGATGATTTATTGTTTTTTTAGAGTAAATTTTTCTCTTTTCTAAACGGGGTCAAATAGCAGAGTAGAAAACAGAGCCAGGTATTTACAGAATGACAAACACCCGGTGACAGACCACTATCTCCAGTCCATGAAATACAGTAAAGACAAACAGTGCTGCGTGTCCTGAGGCTGATAAATCTGTCAAATAAATCTACTAAATACATGTCTATTTCATATACTTTCTTCACCCACATTCTAGTCTTATATAACGAATGGAATGGTTGGTTGGTTGTTGGTTTGTTGTTTACCTCCGCACTCAGCAATATTCCAGCTATATGACAACGGTCTGTAAACAATCGAGTCTGGACCAGACAATTCAGTGATTAATATCATGAGCATGGATCCACGCAATTGGGATTGATTACATGCATCAACCAAGTCAGCAAGACTGACCACTCAATCCCGTTAGTCGCCTCTTACGAGTGGAGTGGAGTGGAGTGGAGTGGAGTGGAGTGGAGTGGAGTGGAGTGGAGTGGAGCTTTGACCACTAGGCTACCCCACCGCCCCCTTCATGTTAGAAAGTGAATAAAAAAAAAGTAAATATGAATGTATTTATTTATTTCCTAAAAGACTGCCTAACCTAGACAAACTTGAGAGATTTCAACAGAGGCAGCCCCATCCAAACCTTTTCCTGACTGCCCCCAAACTTTCGATCTAGAAACACTATCAGGCGACATCACAGTGATGTTGACGAGTGACAAAGGAAGGTTACGGCTTGTCTATGGAGAGTCAGGGAAATGTCACAAAACAAACGACCAGCTCAAGGCAAAAAGCATCGGAAACAAATGACCAATTATTTGACTGGTATTAGTGGTAATAACATGCATGATACAGTGCACACAAACTAAACAACCAAGTTGCTTATTACAAGAAGGATAAAACTAAAGAGACTTGAGAATCGGTTATGATTATAATTAATAAAAAAATATTTCAGTTTGTATCTTCAGTCACGGAAAGAATACATCCTCTTAAAGATTCCTAGATGAGAATTCAGAATAGTTAACAATAACCTAAGAATATGACAATAAAGGCTTTGAATACATGAGTGAGTGAGAGAGTGAGTATGGTTTTATACCGCTTTTAGCAATATTCCAGCAGTATCACGGCGGATGACACCAGAAATGGGCTTCACACATTGCACCCACGTCGGGAATCGACCCCGGGTCTTCGGTGTGATGAGCAAGCGCTTTAACCACCAGGCTACCCGACCGCCCCTTTTTGAATACATGACAGTTGTGACCTGTTGTGACATTTTAGTCAGGGTGATCAGATAAAACAACATATCTGCCGAAATCAAGCCATTTGAAAGTCAGTTTGACCTAGTCTCTTGCACTGATTAACTGTATACAGGGCATGATTTACGGAACTTGATTGAACTTGCACAAGGTGCATGTTGACATGAATATCTAGTGGGGCCAGACAAAACCAGGTGGCACCCTGATTCAATTAATATATCAAAGTTAAAACATAAACAACTCTAAACAAACCACATCTCAAATCCCTGATGATTGTGTCATGATTATTCATAAGCGACATATTGCTGTAAAATGTAACTGGAACATACAGTCAAATATGTTTATAACAAGCATGCGTGTAACGAACTAACGGATATAACAAACTATTTCTTGTCCTGTCCATTTGCTGTCTATATGCCGTACATGTTATAACGAACTACGGTTATAACAAATTAAAATTAGTGGTCCCTTTGAGTTCGTTATAACTGTAATTTACTGTATGTAGTCGGCCTAAAAAGTACCCACAGTTTGATGATGTCAAGCCCAAGAAAGCATGACAAATTACACATAACACAGAGATTAGTGATGCAGTATGGTACATAACGCTTAGAGGTATTGAGTGTGTTCGCAAATCGATATTGTGTGGAAAAGTATGGGTTAGTCAGACACAAATTTGAGTTTTATTGACATGCACTTGGTGGATGTAGACATAAATATTAGGTTGCATGTTTCAATAATAGGCTGCACTTGTGAATGTTTTATATAACTAAATGGAGCACAGAGTAAATATCAACTAAGTTTATTAAAATTCAACTGACGGGATCGGGTGGTCAGGCTCGCTGACTTCTTTCATGCATGTCATCATATTCCAATTGTGTGGATCGATCCTCATGATGTCAATCACTGCATTGTCTGGTCCAGACTCGATTATTTACAGACCGCCGTCCTATAGCTGGAATATTGCTAAGTGCGGCGTTAAACAACAAACAAAACAAAACAAACAAACAATATAGCAATTGAGGAATAGAAGGTAACTATTTCAGTCCTCCTGATTATGTGTGTCATAGTACCCTCATGGCATGGATCTTGCTCATGCTGTCAACCACTAGTTTGACTTATGGCCGTTACAAGATTAAGTAAAGACTGCCATGATATACCCAGAACTAGGAAGTTGTTTATAATTACAAGAAATATAAAACAATTAAAACTGAGAATTGGTTTTCAATATAATAAAAACATAATACATAAAAGATTATGTTTTTGTTTGTATGCTCAATCGTTGATTCAAAAAAGTCCTCTTCAAGTTTCCAAGATTAGAATTCAGAATAGTTGAAATGTTGCCAACTGTTGAATAAAACAACATTCATTCACTTGCTCAGTAAGTCTCCCCTGAATGCATATACTTTCTAAATTTACTTGGCTGATAGTTAAATAAGTACAGTACTCATTCGGTTCTTTAATAATCAATCACCCTCACAATGTCTTGCTGCGCTTCCACACCCAGCTACCCGACCTACTAGAGATACCCTCACTTGAGCAGATCCTGTCAGTGAGGTTGACACTGCACCATGGCAATGGTATTTTATCTATTGATCTACGGAGAGTCCTGTTGACACTTTTGCTATGCAACCTCGCCATTGGAGATACAGGGATGTCGCCATCTCTTGTC